AATAGCCAAAGTAATCTTGAGAAAGAAAAACAAAGCCAGAAGCAACACACTCCCTGATTTCAAACTATACTACAAAGCAATAATAATCAAACAGTATGGTATTGAACTAAAAACAAACGCACAAGTCAATACAACAGAACAGAGAGCCCAGAAATAAACCCACCCATACATAGTCAATTGATTTATAATAAGTTAGCCAAGATTATACAATGAGGAAAGGACAGTCTCTTCAATATTTGGTGCTAGGAAAACCAGATAGCCGAATACAAAAAAATAAAATTATACTAATATCTTATATTGGAGGTCCCTGATCTTTTTGGCACCATGGACCAGTTCCATGGAAGACAATTCTTCCACAGACCAAGGGTGGGAGGATGGTTTCAGGAAGATTCAAGTGTATTACCTTCAAGCTGTTACCTCCTGCTGTGCGGCCCAGTTCTTGACAGGTACAAGTCCACAGCCTAGAGGTTGGGTACCCCTGTCTTATATCATATACAATAATTAAATCTAAATTGATTAAAGGCTTGATTATAAGACCTGAAACGATAAAACTCTGAGACAACACAGATGGTAAATTCCTTGACATCAGTTGTGGTGATCATTTTTGGATCTGATGCCAAAAGCAAAGTAAACAAGAGGGACTTCATCAAACTATAAAGCTGCTGCACAGCAAAGGAAACCATCAATAAAATGAGGGGCAACCTACTGAGTGGAAGAAAAATAGTGGAAATTACAAGAACTCATATAACACAGTGAAAAAACACTCACAAATAATCTGATGAAAACATGGACAGAAAATCTAAACTAGCATTTCTCCAAAGATGACATACAGATGGCCAACAGGTACATGAAAGGATGTTAACATCACTAATTATTAGGGAAGTGAGAATAAAAACCACAATGAGATATCACCATACATCTGTTAGAATGTCTATTATCAAAAAGACAAGAAACAGATGTCGAAAGGATGTGGAGAGAAGAGAATCCTTGTGCACTGTTGCTGGGAATGCTGATTCATGCAGTCACTGCGGAAAGCAGTATGGAGATACCTCAAAAAAATAAAAATGGTTCTGCCTTTTGACCCAGCAATCCCACTTCTGAGAATATAACTGAAGAAATCCAAAACACTAATTCAAAAGAACATATGCAGCATTATTTATAATAGCTAAGACAGGGAAGCAACTTAAGTGTCCATGGATAAATGAATAGGTACAGAAATTTGGTATGTATGTGCATATATGAATACATATAGGTATGTGTGATATACACAATAGACAGAATATTATTCAGCCATAAAAAATAATAAAATCCTGAGGACATGATACTAAGTGAAATAAGTCAGATAAAGACAAATACCATATAATCTCACTTGTATATGGCATCTTAACAAAAAGTTCATAGATAAAGAGAATAGATTGGTGTGGTAAGGGAAGTGAGTGATATTGGTGAAGGGAGGTCAAAAGGAACTACTAGTTATAAGACATCGAGACATAATGTACAGAATGGTTGTTACGGGTAGATAGGCCCATACTCTTGGCCTGCCACTTCTCTACGAGCCAAGAAGCTGACACTTGGCAGACTGTGCCAAGCTGCAAGGAGAAGGGGGTGCCTCTCTGGGGGTGGGGTGCAGAGCCCTGAGGTTCAGCTGACTGCAGCATCCTAGCTGTGCAACTGCCTGGCCCAGAGGCAGCGGGAACCCTGGCAGACACCACAAGTGGTAGGGCACCACCGCCCTGGCACCATCTCCCTCTCACCCCCAGGTGGGAGTGGTGGTGGGGCCCAGCTGCAACAAAGCATTAGGCTGGGCAATGGCAGAGTCACTTCAGCGTAGCTTGAGGCTTCAAGGGCAAGGAAGCCAAGCAGCCTTGAATGTATCAGAGTCAGGGCAGTCTCCCCCCACCAGCTGGGATGGCAGCAGGGGGGGATTCTTAAACTGAGTATACTGAAAGCTGGAAAATGAATGGACATGGCCCAAGTACGTGGGGAAAGCTGGAAAGATGAACAGATGGGGCCCACGCATGCCTAAGGCTAGAGAAATGATGGATAGGGTCCAAACAAGCCATCACCTCTAAAGATGAAGGGATAGGGCCCCCAGTGCACCAAGATCTAGAAAGATAATTAAATAAGGGGGAAAGCCCTTGTCCCCACCCTTCCAGGACTATATTGGGGGTGGACCCAGGGGAAGGCAGGTACATATGCCATATAAACCAGAATGGCAGCAGGGGGTGGTCCTAGATCACTGTCAATCTAGCCTGGGTAAAGAAGGGATTGGTTGGGAGGCAGACCCACCCACAGCACCTGAAAGTTTAGGAAGTTAATTGGTCATCTTGAGAAAGCATCTGGCCCATCCCACACCCAAAATAGACACAGTCCCAGGAGAACAAAGAAATGCTCTAGCTCTTGCTTGTTGCTCACTGCTCGAAACCTGCACTCAGTGGGTACACTGGTCTGCCCTCCAGGGGCCATGTGGTCTTAGTAGCTGCGTGGCCCATGGCCTCTAGAAGGGAGTTTTGCTCTTTCTCTTGCTGACCTGATGAAGCATTTACCAGGGTGTTCGTGTGCTCTTTCATCTGGAAGCATGTGACCTTATGGCCCTAGCAGCAGCATGGCCATGACCACACTGGCTCCACATGCAGCCTCCAGGAGGGAGTCTGAAGCCCAACAGCAGCTGGGAACAAGCTAAGCTACCTGGACGATCACTTAGCAGCCACCTGCAGGCCCCAAGGATGATACTTTAAAATACAGCAGGAACTCTGGGCACTGCTCTTTGTTCTGGTCTTGCTGAGGATGGTTTACTAAGAGGAGATGAGCTAAGAGACAAGGAGTTCTCCATTCTTCAAGATGGCACAACATACAAATCAAACTTCTTTACTTTTGCATCAGCACTCGCCTCTCGAGTTTGGCTTTTGTGCCAACAGGTAGCTGAACTTCTGCCTTTTTTTTGTTGTTGTTCAGTAACATGGTGAATATACCTGACCCTTGAACAATGTGAAGGTGAGTGGTACTATTCTGCACCACTGAAAATCCACATATAATTGCAACTGGCCCTACACATCCACAGATTCCCAACTGTGGACTGACCCTTGAACAACAGGGGCTTGAACTGCATGGGTCAACTTAACTACACAGGTCAACTTAACAAAAAAAACAAACAAAAAAACCCACACATAATTGGACCAGTGCAGTTCAAACTCATGTTGTTTGAGGGTCAACTGTATTAATAATACTGTAATCCCTGGCCTGGTGGCTCAGTTGGTTAAAGCATCATCCCATACAACAAAAAATTGTGGGCCCATCCACCGTCAGGGGGTATAGATGGTTGTGGGTTCTATTTACAGTAAGAACACATATGGGAAGCAACCAATGGATGTTTTGCTCTCACATGGATGTTTTTTTCTCTCTCTGTCTCTCTAAAATCAATAAAATTGGGTGAGGTTTCAAAATAATAAAATGACAAAAATGCTATTACCAAATAATAAAAATACTGTATTGAATATTTGTAAGTTGGTAAGAGTATTTAAAAGTTATCATCAGAAGAAAAAAATTATAACTCTGTATGGTGATAAATGTTGACTTCTTGTAGTAATTGTTTTGAAATATATACAAATATTAAATAATGATATTATACACCTGAAACTAATGTTACATGTCAGTTATACCCTGAATGAGAAAAATGAAAAGGTAAAGAAATTGCCTGGAAATTATTTTTTTAAAAAAAGAAAAAGATTTCCGGGACAGATAGGTGGAGGCCTAAAAGAATTCTTAGTAAGCATGAAGACCTATGATAATGGTACCCACTATGGATATTACCTTATTACCTATGTAAAAATTTTAAATGAGCAAATGAAAATATGCTCAACATCATTAGTCATTTGGGAAATGCAAATCAAAACCATAACAAGAAACCACTTTATAACCATAAGGATTATAATTGTGAACAAGGATATAGAGTAATCAGAAAACTCAAACATTGTGAGTGGAAATATAAAATGGCACAGCTGCTTTGGAAAAGTTTGGTAGTTACTCTAAATGCTAAACATATAGTTACTATATGGTTTAGCAATGCTACTCGTTTCTCCCAAGAGATCTGAAAATTTATGTCTACACAGTAATTTGCACATGAATGTTCATAGTGGCATACTCACAATAGCCAAAAAGTAGAAATAACCCAAATGCACATTAAATGATGAAGGAATAAACAAATTGTGGGATATCCGTAAAATGAATATTATTCAGTGATAAAAATGAAGTACTAATACATAATACAACATAGATGAATCTTAAAATATTATGCTAAGTAAAAAAAATCCAGATGCAGAAGACCACACAATGGGTAGGATTCCAATTATAGGAAATGTCTGAAATAGGCAAATCTATAGACAGAAAGTAGATTAGTGGTTGCCTAGGAATGGAGAAGAGAGAGGAAATGGAGAGTGACTGTTGATGGGTACTGGATTTCTTTTTGGAATGATAAAAATGTTCTAAAATTCACTGTAATGATGCTTGTACAACTCTGAACATAAAAAGTAAATTGAACTATTTGAAAAAACACTGAACTGTCCCTGGCTGGTGTGGCTCAATTGATTGAGTGATGGCCTGTGAACGAAAGGGTTGTTGGTTCGATTCCCAGTCAGGGCACATGCCTGTGCTGCAGGCCAGGTGCCCCCCCAGTAGGGGGCACGAGAGAGGCAACCACACATTGATGTTGCTTTCTCTTTCTTTCTACCTCCCTTCTGCTCTGTCTAAAAATAGATAAATAAAATCTTTAAAAAAGTAAATAAAATAAAAAACCTAAACTGTAAAAAGGGTTAATTTTATACTATGTGAATTATATCTCAATAAGTTATAGAAAATTGAAAAATTAAGACATTCTTTTACTTTTTAACTTACTGAAAACCTTCAATTCCTTTAATTTTTGTTTTAAATTAACTGAACTTGATTCCAATTCTGACTTAATTTGAAGTAAACTTTAAACCAAATAATAATTTCTAAACAAATACCTGTTTGCACACCAGTATCCTTCTTAGAAGAGTTCACAGAACTAATACATGTATTCATTTTACCACTGACTTCATCCAAGCTATGTCTTGAATTTGAAATGTTGTTAGTAGATTCATTAAATTCCACTTGTACTGAATCGACTTGCAAGAGAAATAAATAATTGGATAAAATGATAGTTGAGGAAGAGTAAAATTATGAATAGCAGAAACTAAATATGAACAAGACTGTTAACTAATCAAGATGAACAATGAAAAAATATTTAGAAGGGCTAGCCTAACGTTTCTTACAAAAAGTTACCCTCATTCTTATTATCCATTATTGAATGTCTCCATAAAAATGGGCACAAAAGTATTCATTTTACTTATTGTGAGCAAAATAAGAAAATTATGTGAAAACACACTGAAAAATGTAACACTATATAGTTGTACTCTTAAGGTAATCTCCCCCCACCCCCCAAAAATGCATTATTAGTTCAAGGTCTAAAATTCCTTTAAAAATATTTAGTTAATAGGGGTGTTAAAGCTATTAAAAATAGTCATTTAAAATCAACTAAAAATATTATAAATAAAATTCTAGTTAAGTGCTTACCACCAAGATTTTTCATCAATCTAGAAGTGTCATGTCCCTTTTGAGCCAATTCTCTAATTCTTTGTTCTTGTTTCAGTCTCTGTGCCAGCTCCTGTGCTCTCTGCATCGTCTGGAACAGTTCATTTGTCTTGAGAGTTATAATTTCCTATTAATAATAAATTGCAAATATTCATTAAATAAATTATCAAGCACATACAAACTTAACTATTTTCTCTCAGTATATAATTTTTTAGCTCCTACTGTGTGCCAGGCTGTATTCAAGATACTGGGAATAAAACAGTCAACAGGGCAATTTCCTCCCCTTTTGAAGCTTACATTTTAACGTCTCTTTTTTAAAAGCAATATCAGCCTTTTTATTTTTATTATTTTAAATAAGAATAATTCTTCTTTTTTAAAGATCCTATTTAATTATTTTTAGAGAGGGGGAGAAAGAGAGGGAGAAAAATATCAGTATGTGGTTGCTGCTTAAGTGCCCCTTGCTGGGGACCTGGCCTGCAACCCAGGCATGTGCCCTGACTGGGAATCAAACTGGCAACCTTTTACTTTGCAGGCTGGCACTCAATCCACTGAGCCACACCAGCCAGAGTACAATGTTAGTCTTTTTCATTTTAGCCATTTTGGTGGATATAAAATGGCATTTCATTGTGGTTTTAATTTACACTTTACTGATGACTAATGAGAATAAGCTTCTTTTAAAATATTCATTGGCTGTTTTCTTTTGTAAAGTGGTAAATTACCTGTTTCAGTCTTTTGCTCATTCTTTTATTAGGTTTTTGTCTTTTTGTTCTTGATTTATGGGATTTTAAATTTTTCAGTAATTTTTTTTTATTTTTCAATTACAGCTGATCTACAATATATTAGTTTCAGGTAAAACAGAGTGATTAGACATTTATATAACTTAGAAAGTGATCATCCCAATAAGTTTAGAACCCATTTGACACCACACACAGTTATTACAATATTACTGACCACAGACCCTATGCTATACTTTACATCCCTGGGACTCTTTTTCTGACAATTTGCATATCTTAATCCCTTCCCCTTTTTCACCCAACCCTCCCACATCTGACAAAACATCAAAATGTTCTCTGTATCTTTGAATCTCTTTCTGTTCTGTATATTTTGTTTTTCAGATTCCACATGTAAATGAAATCATATGGTATTTGTCTTTCTCTGACTCACTCATTTAACATAATTCTCTCTAGGTCCATCCATATCATCACAGATGGCAAGATTCTGTTCTTTGTGGCTAAGTAATAATCCATTGTATATATATATACCACCTCTTTTTAAAACATTCACCTATTGATGAACACCTAGGCTGCTTCCATATCTTGGCTACTGTAAATGCTGCAATGAACATGGAGATGCACAGGACTTTTTCAATTAGTGTTTGGAGTTTCTTCAGATCGATACCCAGATATGGAATTGCTGAGTCCTTCTTTGTATCTTGATACAGTCTTTGTTTTATTGTCTACTTTGTCTGATACAAGTGTTGCTACCTGAGCTCTTTTTGTTGTCTCCAGTGCATGAAATATCTTTTTCTATCCATTTACTTTCAGTCTGTGTCTTTTGATCTGAAGTGGGCCTCTTGTAGGTAATATATGTATGGGTCTTGTTTTCTTTTCCATCCAGCCACCCTATGTCTTTTGATTGGAGCATTTAATCCATTTGCATTTAAAGTAAGTATTGGTAGGTATGTAGTTATGAACATTTTATTATTCACACTTTTGATATTTGTACTTTCCTTCTTTTTAATGAAGTCCCTTGAACATTTCTTACAATACTGGTTTGATGATGAACTCCTTTAGCTTTTTCTTGTCTGGGAAGCTCCTTATATGTCCTTTGACTCTAAATGATAGCTTTGCTGGGTAGAGTATTCTTGGTTGTAGATTCTTGCTTTTTACCACTTTGAATATTTTGAATCCCTTCTGGCCTGAAAGTTTCTGTTGAGAAATCAGCCGATAGGCTTATGGGAGTTCCCTTGTAGGTAACTGATTTTTGTCTTGATGCTTTTAAAAAATCTCTATTTAACCTTTGACATTTTAATTATGATGTATGTTAATATGGGCTTCTTTGAGTTCATTCTTGTTTAGGAATCTCTGTGTTTCCTAGGCATGTATGTTCACATCCTTCACCAGGTTAAAGAAGTTTTCCATCGTTATTTCTTCAAATTAGTTTTAAATTTCTTGCTCTTTCTTTTCATTCTGGTAACCCTATGATACAAATGTTAGTACACTTGAAGTTGTCCCAGAAGTCCCTTCAACTAGCTTCATTTTTTTTTATTCTTTTTTCTTTATGCTGTTCTGATTGGATGTTTTCTGCTGCCTTGTCATCCAAATTGTAGGTTCAATCCTCTGCTTCACCTGCCTCACCTGATCTACTGTTATTACCTCTAATATATTCTTCATTTATTTTATTCTACACTTCTGAATGATTCTTTTTTACATTTTCTATCTCTATTTTTATGTTTCCTATCTTTTTGTTGGAGTTCTCATTGAGATTTTCTATTCTTCCCTGAATTTCATTGAGCATCCTTATAGCCAGTGTTTTGGACTCTGCATCTGATAGACTGCATGTCTCCCTTTTATTTAGTTCTTTTTCTGTAGTTTTGTTTTGTTCTTTCATTTGGGGCATATTTGTCTCTTCATTTTGGCTGCCTCCCTGTGTTTGTTTCTACGTATTACATACAGCTACCACATCTCCTAGTCTTGGTAGTGTGACCTTACATAGTAGGTGTCCTATGAGGCCCAGTGGCTCAATCTACTGGTCACCTGAGCCAGGTGCTCCAGGTGTGTCTCCTGTGTAAGTAGAATGTGTTCTCCTGTTGTACTTGAGCCTTCATTGCTGTTGGCTCATCAATTGGTGGGACTGACCCTCTCTGATTGGTTGTGAGGACTGGCTGTGTCCAAAGCAGAGGAAATGGTGTGCAGGTGTTGACCCCATGAAGCAAGATTCTCTTTAGTGGGACTCTGATGCCTGCAGAGTCTTCCCTTTGGGTATATAGTTTGTGGAGGTGGTTGAGTGGTACTCTGGTGTGGTCTGAAGCTGGCCACAGGGTGTGTTGGTTCTGAGGCCTCTGGTACAGGCCAAGGTCAGTGATTGGGCCCTGCCCAGGGACACTGTATAAGATGCCTACAACTTGTGCTGAGTGTGGAGGTGCATGGGAGAGGCTAAGCTGCAAACTGAGGCAGGCTGCTGCTAGTGCCGGGCTTGGGGCTGCCTAGCAACAGGTATAGAACACTTCAAAGCCAGATGCTACTTGTCTGGAGTTTCTGAACCCTTGAGAGATTTTGGGAAAGTCCACAGCACAAGCCAACACAGGCCATTTGTATGGAAAATGCTAAAGCACTGGAAGCAACTTGGGTGGGCCCAGAAGTTGGGTGGGACAGGGCCTCAGAGACTCACCAGGCAGCGTGAATGGTGTTAGGTTAATGCAGATTCAGATCTGGCATCTGTTTAAGCCTGAAGGCTGGGTGTGGGTTGGGCAAAACAAATGAATAATGGCTTCTGCCAGTACTTCGGTCTGGGAGAAAGCTGCCCCTCCAGCCCTTGCCCCAAACCCAGACAATTCAGTTCTACCCTGGCACTTTTCAAGCTGCTGCCCCAAGGCTGGAGATCAGAGCAAGTGAGTTTGTCAGTGAGTAAGTCTATGAATGGGCCCTGCAATTCCAGAAGACCTCCATCTCACTCCGTCTCAGACCACAATCTCCACTGATTTCACAGCAGAAGTTATAGGGACTTCTCCCAGCAATGGAACTGTGCGCTGGAAGCCTGGTGTTGAGCTGGAAATGCTCGTTTCTCAGGGGACCTCCACAGCTGAGATAGCCTTCCCAATTTTTAACCACCAAATGTAGGCATGGGAGGAGCTCATTCCATGTCTCTGCTCCTCCTACTAGTCTCCACCTGACTTCTTTATGTCCTTAGTTATAGGACTTCTGTTCAGCTAGACTTCAGACAGTTACTGATGACTGTTGCTGTGTAGTTTAGGTGTAATTTGGATGTGATCATTGGAGGAGATGAGCACAGTGTTTACCTATTCCAACATTTTGACCAGAAGTCTAATCTTTTTTACAGCCTCATTAGACCATATATATAAGAACATTTTTACATTCAAGTTTATACTAACAAAGCTTTCAAAGTTTCTAAACCAATGGTCCATTCCATCAGATTTCTATTAAGATTAAAAAGAGATTATTAAAAGATAAAACACAAAATATGTGGCCATTTATTGCAATTCAAACAAATGATACTTTAAGTTTTTTTCATGTATATAGTTATTTCATAGGAGTGGTTGGCTCAGCCTATTCAATATAATGAAGTCAAAACCTAGACCATGTGCCCCTTCATCAACTAATTTTGGAGTAAAGGCTGCAAATGGAAAAGGCAAGAAAATGAAAGGTCTCAGTCTTACCTCCCAACTTCAGGGGAAGTGCTCTATGTTCTATTTTGTAAACCTCAAGAATTTTCAGCAACTGATGTGATAGTATGAGTTGTTCTTTGTCAGTTAGGCTTGATATCAACATAAACTATACTGTCTATACCTCTTATAGCAGGGGCATTCAACCCATGGCCCACAGGCCACATGTAGCCCAGGATGACTATGAATGTGGCCCAACACAAAATCATAAATTTACTTAAAATATTTTGAGATTTTTTTGCTAATCACATGTCACAATGTATTTAATGTGTGGTCCAACACAACTCTTTTCCCAGTGTGGACCACAGATGCCAAAAGGTCGGACAGCTTTGTTACGGATGCTCCTAGTCGATCAAACATCTATTCTTTTTAAAAGACCTTTATTTAGCACAGAGGAAACCTCTAACACAGCAACAAATTGTATTATCAATCCCAGCCAATCACTGCAAATATATACTTCTATTCACAAGAGGATACAGAGAGAAAGGCCAATCATTTTTCTTAATATTTCTAAAACATTTATTAATATAATTATTGTTTAGAAAACATTTCAAAATCAAGACTATGGATAACTTCTGTTTTGTGCTATAATAACTCATTTTGACTTTCTTCTATGCAGAAAAAAAAAAAACCCCAAGCAATACAGCACTTGTGAAATAATCATTTGAAATAAAACCTCTAAATTCCTCCCTAACTTCCACAACTTTCTTTATGCAAAGCTTTAATGTTTCCTCATAGAGCTTCACAATTTTTAAGAACACATCCATTTTTACTCTAAAATGTTACAATTAGAATATAAATACCTACTTCCTTTTGTTTTTGCTTAAGTATGTCTTCTTCATACTGCTTCTGCATCTCTTCTCGTTCCCGTGCTAAACGAAGCTCCTCTTCTTGTTCTTCCTTCTTTCTCTGCTCTTCTTGCAACTGCTTCTTCCTACGCTTCTCTTCTACCTGAGCAGTGATGGCTTTCTAGTCAGAAACAATCACATAATCATTGTCACAAATTTTTTTTTAAAAAATCCAGTTCTAAGAGGGAAGTTCATAGCGATACAGGCCTACCTAAAGATAGAAACATTTCAAATAAACAACCTAACCTTACATCCACAAGGACTGGAGGAACAACAACAAAGTCCACAGTGAATAAAAGGAAGGAAATAACCAAGATCAGAGCAGAATTAAACAACACAGAGACTAAAAGAACAACTCAAAGGATTAATAAATCCAGGAGGTGGTTCTTTGAAAAGATAAACAGAATCGACAAGCCTTTAAGCAGACTCATCAAGAAAAAAAGAGAGGACCCAAATAAACAAAATCAGAAATGAAAGAGGAGAGATTATAACTAATACCACAGAAATACAAAGAACTGTAAGAAATTACTACAAACAACTATATGCCAAGAAATTTGAAAACCTGGGTGAAATGGACAAATTTCTAGAAAAGTATAATCTTCCAAAACTGAATGAATAATAAACAGAAAGCCTGAATAGACCAATAACAAGTTGGTGAAATCGAAATAGTAATAAAAGAACTCCTGGCACACAAAAGCCCTGGACTGTACAGTTTCACAGGAGAATGTTACAAAGCATTTAAGGAAGGGCTAACCCCATCTTTTAACAGATTTTCCAAAAAATCCAAGATGAAGGAAGACTTTCAAATTCTTTTTCTGAAGCCAGCATCATCCTAATCCCAAAACCGGTTAAAGACACTACAAAGAAAGAAAACTACAGGCCAACACTGCTGATGAACATAGACACTAAAATCCTCAACAAAATATTGGAAAACTGCATCCAGCAATACATTAAAAAGATCACACACCATGATTAAATGGGATTCATCCCAGGGATGCAAGGATGGTACAATATTCACAAATCAATAGATGTAATATACCACATAAACAAAAGGAAAGGCAAAAATCACAATCATAACAACAGATGCAGGAAAAGCATTTGATAAGGTACAGCACCCATTTACGATAAAAAGACTCGGCAAAATGGGAGTAGAGGGAGCATACCTCAACATACTAAAGGCCATATATGAGAAACCTACAGCCAACATCATATTCAATGGGCAAAAACTAAAAGTTTTCACCCTAAGATCAGGAATGAGTAAGGATGTTCACTTTCACCACTCCTATTCAACACAGTATTGGAAGTCCTAGCCGCAGCAATCAGACAGTAAAAAGAAAAAAAGGCATCCAAATTGGAAAGGAGAAAACAAAACTGTCATTGTTTTTAGATGACATGATAGTGTACATAGAAAATCCTATACTCTACCAAAAAACTACTTGACCAAATAAGTGAAATGGGCAAAACAGCAGGATACAAAATCAATATTCAGAAATCAAAGGCATTTTTGCACACAAATGAAATATCACAAACAGAAATCAGGAAAAAAATCCCATTTGATATAGCAACGAGAAAAATGAAGTGCCTAGGAATAAACCTAACCAAGGAGATAAAAGACCTGGATTCAAAAAACTATACAAGACTGAAGAAAGAAATTAAGGAGAGATACAAATGGAAGCATATACCATGCTCATGGATTGGAAGAAATAACATCATCAAAATGGCCATACTACCCAAAGCAATGTATAGATTGAATGCAATCCCTACTAAAATACCAATGATGTATTTCACAGATATAGAACAAACATTTCAAAAATTTATATGGAACTATAAACAACCCCAAATAGCTGTAGCAATTTTGAGAAAGAAAAAGTGGGATGGATCACAATACCCGACATCAAACTGTATTACAAGGCTATGATAATTAAAACAGTCTGGTACTGGCATAAGAACAGACACATAGATCAATGTAACAGAATAGAGAGCCCAGAAATAAACCCAAAGCTCTATGGTCAATTAATATTTGACAAAGGGAACAGAAGCATAAAAAGGAGTAAAAATAGCCTCTTCAATAAATGGTATTGGGAGATCTGGACAGCTACATGCAAAGGAATGAAACTCAACCACCAACGGATACCATATACAAAAATAAAATCAAGAGGGATAAAAGACTTAAAATGAGTCATGACACCATAAAAGTCCTAGAGTAGAACATAGGGAGGAAAATCTCAGATATTCCACACAGCAATATTTTCACCAATATGTCCCTTAGAGCAAGGGACAGAAAGGAAAGAATAAACAAATGGGACTTCATCAAAATAAAAAGCTTCTGCATGGCTGAAGAAAACATCAATGAAATGAAAAGGGAACCAAATGTATGGGAATATATATTTACAAATGATACCTCTGACAAGGGTTTGATCTCCCAAATATATAAAGAACTCACAAAGCTCCACTCCAGGAACACAAATAACCCAATTAAAAAATGGGCAAGGGACTGAACAAGGCCTATGCTGTAAGTTTATAATGAAATTTTATTTATATTTACTTAGGTGTCTATTGCCTATAAATAAGGCAAAGAGCAATACTTTACAATGCAATACCTGATGTTCTAACTGCTTTTGTCGCCACCTATCTCGTTCCTCAATCTGAGCTGGGTCCAAGAGGGCAGTCATCGAACGAAGGAAGCTGCAAAAGAGATATATTACCTATTTAAAGCCACCAAAATATGTGTTTAATGAGGTACTAAATCATTTTTGTTTTGGATATATCTACCATTTACTTCTACTTTATTTTTTTAAATAAAAATTTAATGACTTAATTTCTTCCACATCTCCATGACTATCCTGCAAGTATCAATCTGCAGCTTTTTTTTTTTTTAAGATTTTACTTATTTATTTTTAGAGAGAGGGGAAGGGAGTGAGTGAAATATCAATGTGTGGTTGCCTCTCACGTGCCCCCTACTGGGGACCTGGCTGTCCCCTACTGGGAATCAAACCAGCAACCTTTTGGTTCTCAGGCCAGGGCTCAATCCACTGAGCTACACCAGCCAGGTCTAGTTATTTCTACACTAAAGAAAAATACCAAACCTGAAATCAGTTAAGATTATATATTATAAATGTATTAACAGTCCTCATAAAGAACAGACTTTTTAAAACATCAATAAATACTGAAGTATGCACTTACTTTGTTTTTTGACTGTTTGCAATCACCACACCTCTAACAGGTTTTGCTATATGTTCCTCTTCTGAAGGTTCAATCTGGCTTCCAGTTGTAGGTGTATAAACACTGCTGATATCAGCCAGCTCCTGAGTGTCCGGAGAGACACAGAAGTACTCTGGTTGTTTGTGTGATGACCGAGAGGACAGTTGAGACTGAGAACCAGGATAACTCTTTAATGAATCAAAATGTATTGCCCATCTGTCATGTTCCTCATCCTAATTATGACAAATAAGAATTGCTAAAAATTTTTCCAATTGTTCTCACGTGTAAAATCTTAAATGAAAATCAAACATGATTTCTAAGTCACCATAAGCAGAATAAACATCATAAACATTAACAAATGCTTTTCGTATTGATTCCATACACATTTAAATAAGAAGCTTGGGGAATATGAGAAATTCAAAGAATTGGGAAATTTCTTAAAAGAAAATATGAAAAAAAATCACATTTTTTAAATGTGTTCAGTAAAAGGTTCACAAGAGTAAATGTGGAATATCTGGTATACTCTAGTCATATCAAATAGTTTCAGAATACTTTTAAGATTAAAAATGTGAAATTCATACCTGTCAGAGTGGCTATCATTCATGAATCAACAAACAACAAATGTTAGTTATGATGTTGGGAAAAGGGAACCCTCATGTACGGTTAGTAAAATTGCAAACTGGTACAGCCACTGTGGAAAAGTATGGAGGTTCCTCAAAAAATTAAAAACAGAACTACCTTATGACCTAGAATTCCACTTCTGGGTATTTAGCCGAAGAAATCCAAAACACTAATTCAAAAAGATATATGCATCCCTATGTTCACTGCTGCATTATTTACAATAGCCAAAATTTGGAAGCAACCTAAATATCCATCAATATATGTACAACATGTTCTTTACAACTGTAATCCTACTTTTGCCCTGCCCCATATAAGGAAAGGGAATTTTCTAATGAAAAATAGAAAATTACTTCTCTAAAACAATTACAGGATTTCCAAAGTTCTATCCTAACATAGTCTCACTTAGATTTTGAAAGGAGTTATATTGATAATTTAAAATAGATGAATATTGTTTTACATTTGGCTTCAAAATACAAAAAAATTTGCCTTTGGACCAGAGCCAGGAGGATAAGAGACTGATTTTTTCTCTGCTGAATAATAATGTCTATTTCTAGAATATCCTTCTTCTTTTCCATTTTGGCTACTGTAGCCTTATCACAATCTCTGACATTTCAATAAGAAAAATATATTGTGTCCAGATTAAGTCCTTGAATTATAAGAAAGCCAAAAATAAAAGAGTACCATAAAAATTTGTTGTTGCTTTAATTTATGAATTTAATATTCTCTAACAAAAAGAAAAGAATGTATTCTACTCTAATTGTCCTAAAATGCAACATTTTGTTATGTGAAATAATTGCAGGACATAATTTTAAATAGTTTGACAGAATTCAATGGCAATATACTTCAAAATGTTACTGTCTTCCCTTGTTTTTACCAGAAACAAAGACAAAAGCTCATAGTTTGCAACGAATTGCTTTCATCAGTAAATAGGAAATACTCATACAAAAAGAAAAAAAAACCTTAGCATCTCAGGTACTCCCACATAATCTTAAACAGGTTTTTAAAAACCCATCACATTTATTTGAGTCTAAAAGAACAACTCCAAAATGAGCACTATCTTCAGGTAAATTACTTAACAGGTCTTCTATCTCTAGAAATGTTATTTTAGAGGTCAAAGGGGAAAAGAAAAACACATGGGCTCTCTGAACTTCTTGTAAGAAATTCTCAACATTGACACTATATCAATCTTAGAATTCTGTGACCTGTTTTCCTAAGTCTGATATAACTAGATCTGGTTTCAAATTTTAGTGACATTGCAAATTATTCTGCACAAGTCAAAATTATCCTTGAAAATTCCTAAAACTTCTCACAAAATCTTTTATAGATATATATTTACAACTTAGTGGGAAAGTTAACAATCAGTTCCCTCAATTAAATATTCATTTTCTTATTCAAGGATGTCTTACAAAATGATTACCAAATACTTGCTTGCCACCTGAATAATTCATTTCACTTCTCCAACTAGGAAACCTTTTTTTTTTAAGTCGTTACTTTTATTTTTAAAGATTTGTCAAACTCTCCACATCATGGCATGAGTCTGCATGATTAGTAAGCAGCTTTTTCATTAAATGCTTGGAGGGGAACAAGTTTTCAGTCTATGAGATCTGACCATCCCATTGACTTTGAAGTTTCTCTTGATTAACAGGAGGAAAAGGGGGGAGGGAAGAAAAGGAGGAACATGCTAGAAACTGAGGAAAAGAATTCTCATGACAGCCATCTAAAACAAACAAAAAACTCAGAAAACAAAACCAATTCATTAACTCCACTTTTTCTGTTTTACAACGTTCTATTCCTCACTTTTGATTTTGCCTTTCCTGGCTGAAACACCTTCCCAGTCCTGCCGCTCCTGAAGACAGGAAAGGAGAAGCCCTATAGTACATGGTGATCTAAAGCCACATACCCCTAACCCCAAGGCTTTGTGGATTCTAGAGAACTGATGGTCCCCTGCTCCCAAAAGCTTGACCAACAGCATATGGTGAAAAAATTGGTCCTGGTAGAGGGGGAAAATGGGGAGGAACTGGGTTAAAGTGAGAGCTTACATAGTTACATAACACACCCTAATGTTCTTTCAGTTCAGCCCAGGCAAACACGACTAGTTATCTGCTGTTCTGGTCAGCGGGTGTTCCAGAAATTTCTCCAACCACTAGTCCTCTAGCCCCAGAAGCATTCTTGCCAACCTCACATGTCTGTTACTTCCCTTTGCCCACCCTCAGGCCACATGGGAAAGATCCCACCTGCAGCCAACAACCTGAAATAAAATTAACACAAAAGTCTCACTTGGTAAGCATTAGTTTGAAACAGAGGAACAAAGAGCAACTTTGAGATGCTATGTGTTGAAGGCAGATGTGAACAGCTCAAAGTTCCCACCCATTTGCCACCAAGACAACGGCCAGTGCTTCAAATGACCAGAAAAAATGGGACTATTAGTGGGTGAACAAAGGGCCAAATTTTATCTAACCTGTCGTGACTTGGGTTACCATTTCCATTTTTTAAAAGATTTTATTTATTTTTAGAGAGGGAAGGGAGGGAGAAAAAGAGAAACATCAATGTGCAGTTGCTGGGGTCATGGCCTGCAACCCAGGCACGTACCCTGACTGGGAATCAAACCTGCGACATTTTGGTTTGCAGCCCGAGCTCAATCCACTGAGCTACGCCAGCCAGGGCTCCATTTCCATTTTTAGCACCATTGATGTGCTCATTTTTAAAAATCTATATTAGCACCTTGTCCCCACGTAGAATAACAAACCATGCAAACATTTTAAACATTTGAGGTTTGAAATATGAAGGGAAAGGTTAAAGAGATAGAATCCGGTATTGCTGAAAAGAGTGCGGATTTAGATCACAGGATATTTGTACTTGTTGCTATCCTGCTCCCTGATGCCAAAGCAGCTGGCCCACTCATCCAGAGTGATGTACTTGTTGTTGTCCAGGTCACAGATGTCAAAAAATCAGGTGGTGCAAGTGCTCCATCAGGATGAGAGGTGCAAGCAGTGGGACCAGCTTAGTATGGGACAAGTACCTGTCACTGGGGTGCTGGTCCAGCTGACCAACTGCCAAAACACAAGGAAGATGTACACGTTGTAGTTCTCGAAGTCCTGGGCCAGCAGCAACATGGTGTGTGTTCCAAACTCCAGGCACTTCTGTTCTCATGGATCTTCTTCACCCGTAGCTCTGCTTCTTGGTTAGAAGGTTGTTGCCCTCATCCTTTTCACACAGAGTGACCAGGATGTTCCTGAGCCAGTCCCACATGTGTAGAGGGAATTCAGTCAGCTTGATGTCCGGTAGGGGGGATATATTTGCAGGGTCTAATGTAGTCCAGGTGGAGTTTGTGGCTCTTGGTGCCCTCCAGGTTGCACTTGTTGGTGGCAAAAAAGTAGCAGGACAGGTCAAAGGTTTCATTGGTATTGCTGCACACCTTCTGAAACTCAGCAATTGGGGCAGGGCAGCTGATAGGATCATGGCACGCATACATGGGGGTGTTGTTCTCATCCAGCTGTCACACCCCACCATGTTTGCAGTGGTGGTTCCAGCACAAGTTTTCAGCACTTCTTCCTCAGCACTTTCTTCAACTTCTCCTACTTCCACCTGGACAGGGTTGGCTCCCATGCGTACCTTAGACACCTCAGCCACTATTTCCTCCATAACCTATGTCTCATCAGGCAGGGCTCCCTGCTAAGGGGCTGCCAAGATCCTCTGGCCAGGCAAAGGAGAAAGAAGATCCAGGCCTTTATGGTGCTGGAAACCTTCAGAGGCAGGCAGGCAGCCTTATGAAGCTCTGCAGGATTGTCTAAGAAACCTTTTATTACTTTCTTTCTCCTAAGTTTCCCCAATGTGCATTCAGTTAGAGTAATGAAAGTACAAGGATTTGGGTGGGTAGGAAGAAGTGGGAGGTAGAATGAAATCTCCCTTTTGGCTACTGAGCTAATTTAAGCTAAGGCAAATGGGAACACAAGACACACTGTAATAAATGTGATTTGGCTACACCTAGCACCTCCCTTCCATTAATTCATCCCTAAATTAAGAACCCTTTTCCCCCAGACTTACTCAAACTTTCACTTTATCTCCCTCATATTATGGACCCAAGACTTCTCTTCTCCTATGTAAAATCTCCTTTTTAAAACATCCACATTCAGCCTATTCTATTCTCAAGTGACTGCCTTGAGTGAAAATGTTTTCATTGGTATTCCATATACCCATCCTCACAAACAGGTCCTGACATGTTACAGGGTCCTAATATAATTCTTTAGCTACCTTCAACTCATTCTGTTAGGAAACACTAATTCTTACTCATAACATAAATGTATGAATGTCAGCTGCTAAATCAGAACTGAAAATAGAGGGGTTTGCAAGTGGTCCACATTAAATACCTGGTTCTGTTTCATTTCATTCTTTCCTTAAAACTGTTTATTAAAAGACAGCTTTGAAAATAGTCATTCAGTGGTGACTTTGCCATGATCCACGATAGCCCTGCTTGCCAGCCCACCCATCAAGAGCCTCCTCATTCTAGACACTGTCCACCTACCTATCTTGTCCACTCATCAGGCAGAAAAGGCATTTGTGTGGATAATGGATGGTCAATCTCAGGACACTGAGCTAGGGAAAAAAAAAAAAA